CCTGAAAATTTGTATAGGTACGTAAATTGGATGCTGCTGTGAAAATTCAGTTTTTCCTCTTCACATATTTCTTGACATTCATATTTTCTTTATAATCTTTTTGCATTGTGATAAAAGGGTTTTTTAGCAGTGGACACTTCACTTATTTTTTCACTTCTATACAGGTATGTTCCAAGGACTGCAGTGTGTACCAGGCACAAGAATGAGGAACCCTTTAGTATTCTAGTTTAGCATTTGACCCAAATATTTAACAATGAAATTGAGTTTCTTTGCTGAGGTGAATTAAATTTCACTAAACACATGGACTGTAAAATTTCTTTCTTTGTTTCTTTCTTTCATGTTAGCTTGATAAATTAATCTTATACTGCAAAAGTAACTCCATTCAGGGAGATGATCAGGATGCAAACATTAATGTATAAAAGTAAACTATAAACTTAAAACTAAACATGCAATTGCTTAGAGAGCAATTCTGAGCTACAGAATTGAATCCCAAACACTTTATATCAGTCAGAAAACACAGTCAGTTCCATGGATATAAGAAAATTCTGTCTATACTAGGAGAAAATGTCTCTTAAATTACCATAGAAATGAAATATTAAAATATAGAAATCAGTGAGATTTCAAGAGTTTGTGTCTTAGCAACACAAGGTAAAATCTTTATTGATATGTTGTTCAGTTTTTTAATTAATCTATGACATACTTTAGAAAATCTACTTTCTAGACCTTCTCCATAGTAACGGACTGTTTCATGAGATATAATAATTGTGTTACTCTCTGTGGTAAAATTCTCACTGTTTTCAGCATGGTGAAAGAATTTGGAAACAACCTTGCTGCAAATATTGAACAAGATGAATTTTGCATTGCAGAACTTTGAGTAGTACAGAACTGCTCTTCTTGGAAGGTAGACTCAACAATTCTGTAAACACTTTTCAGGGGATTTTTTATACCCTTTAAATGTATTAGATAAAAACTGATAGCAAAATAAATAATTTTGGATGCTGCTGTAAATATTTAATGTTCTTATTCAGACAACATTTTACACTAAAGAATCACCCTGTCTCAAAACCTTTCTTGCAAATTGATAAGAAACTGTACTTCACAAGAATTTTAGAAATTAGTGTGTTTGAGAAAGGACATTTAGTATCATGATATTTTGTCCTATGAAAATCTGCATAAGCATGCAGTCAACAAAATCCTTCACTGCAGATATGAAAAATTAACTTTATGATTTATTTTAATTACAATTTGAAATTGTGTGTCTACTTCCTGTTTTGAATCCATCTGGTTCCAACAAACTTGAATTTTATTTTTATTACATCCTTTACTATAGCCATTGCAAGTCCAACCTCCTGTTCTGCAGCTTTACCACTGCCATCACCAGACAGGGTCAGACACAGCTTTGTCAAGGCATATTCTGAAAACCTTCAAGGACAGGTATTTCACCTATTTTTGGGTTACATGTTCTGCTGATGTATCACCAATGCTGTAAAAACTCGTTACTAGTGCTTGGTCTGAGCCTCCCATGCCATCATGTGTGGCTATTGTCACTAACCAGATCATTTAGCACTATAAAGGGTTTATTACTGTAAACTTTGCAAGTGGTTTCCCAGTAGTGGTAGGCTCCTGGAACTCCTTAGCTTATTTTTCATATTAAATTATCCTAGTTTATTAAACTTCTCACAGTTTACTTATTGTGGACCCTTGACCTTCTTGAGTAGCATTTTATGGACCTTTTCCAATTTTCTAACACCTTTGCTGAACTAAGTGGGCATGAAGTGGGAAAGCTAGACACAAAATTGCAGGTAGAGCTACAGCCACACCAAGTAAAGAGGGTTGATACTGCTTTCATCTGTTGGCTGCATTTCTCCTAAGGTTTCTTTATTTATGATACAAGTGCACTGTTGGCTGTGTTCAAGGTAGTGCTTCCTATAACATTCAGGTCCTTTCTAATAGAGCTGCTGCTCAGCATGAATTGATGTATGGGGATTTTCCAGGTGCAGGATTTTGCACTTACTGAGCCTCATGAATTTCTTTGGAGTAAGTTTCATTTTCTTTCTGGGCAATAGTTTACACTGGCTATGGCTTACTTTTGAGGTGGCTATATTTCTTAAGGAAATAATTGGCATAAGATATAATGCAGGTGAATTAGGTTTTAATTTAGAGTTCTGTTTCATCTGACTTTCTTGAAAAGCATTGTGGAAGTACAAAAATTAATTTAAAGCATGTCTTTCTCATAGCCTGTTCTAGTGGTAAAACAACTCAGTCCTCCTGTTCTTATAATTTCAAAGTTTTACAGATCTCAAATAATACAGATTTTCACAAGGCTAGACGTATTACAATGAAGCAAGACCAAATATTATTTCCTTATCTCTTCTGACAAAGATTATCTCATGAAAAAAGATGTCTATCACAGAGAATTAATCTCACTGTCAAAACTAAAAACCTAAAACTTAGGTTAAAAATTCAACAAGATCAACCTTAGGCTTTGAGTCATGATTTTGGTTCTGTTGATTGTCAAGGTAGAAGATTTTAATCTAGTTTTGTTTCATCCTGATCTCTCCATATTTAATTGGCTTAAGAAACTATCTATAAAAACACACAGAGATAAATGTGAGACCGAGCATAATATAACTAAATATTTCATGAGACAGTGCTTTTGAGGGTAGTTTATTTCAATGACCTTCAGAACCAATGTAGCCCATGCATATAAATCCTAAGAATGCATGCCTTTCTTACATATCTTAGCCATCAATTCTTAATTGTTCTGTTATCTGCACTCTAAAAAGATCTTCAAACTCTCCTTATTTACCAAAGAACTATAGTTCAAGATCCTCATACGATCATATTTTACAATTATCAAGTTTAGTCAGCTGACAGTGTGAAGGATTTAATTCAAAAATTATCTTTGTATTTTTTCTTCTCTTTTGCAGACCTTAACGCCAACTGTCTTATCCTTAGTTTCATGCATACATACCATTAGAAATAGAGCTTAATAATTATAATATGTATAATTTATAATTTTCTAGTCCCAGCATTTAATCCCTGTAGAGGGTTTCTGAGCACTACCTTACCCTGGCTTTCTCTTCTCATCATTTAATGTATTATGTCAGTGAAATCTACTTGAAATCGACTAGTGTCAGTGAAACTTACTTGAATTCAGGAGTTCTGTAAATCCTTGTGGAGGATTGTGGACCAGGAATTAGAAGGATGGCCCTAAGTACCAGGCAGCTTCCAGCCTCTTTTCCAAGAGTGAGTGTGATAATCTCTTTCATCTGTAATTTTACTTGTGATCCCCTCTTCTTCCCCTCTGCATTTTGTAATTACTATCATTGGAGAGCCAGTAATGGCCCTCTCTTGTTTTGTGCTGCTAGAGAAGGAGCATAATGTATACTGCTCTTCTACTTCATAGGCAAGTCAAAGGTGTCAGCCAAGGTTTCTCAAAGAATAGATCTGCCCTAGAACCTGACAAAGGTTTAGACCATTACAGTGGAACAACTACATTTGCTTTTTGCAGATTCATATATTTATTAAGTTTATAGTTTTATTATACTCTGTTTTTCCCGGCTGACTTTCAGGGTATAGACTTGGTTTTAATCTCTATGAATCCACTCTGATGTCTACATTAAAGCTTGACAGTAAACAACAAAGATTTTATTCTACCTCTTTTGGTAGCTTGCTTTTAGTTTGCCAGAACTTGTTGATCAGCAAGAGTCAGCTGGCTGACTTATTCTGCCATGCAACATTTATAGCACTGTCTCTCAGCAGGAAAAAGCTGTTCTCAGAAGCTTTTCTAAAATTGTAGGAGTGCAGAGGAATGCTTCATCTATTACCTTCAGATAGCCACAGGAGACCAAAAAATGAGTAAGATACATACTATAGCACTATAGCTTCTGCATCTTTTCTTAAACTAACAACAAACCTTATGTAAGTGTTGCAAACCAACCCGAAATGTGATCAGCTATCCTGAGGAGGTGAGTTTTTTTCACCTGATGGTATCAATTGGATGTGTCAGCTGCGTGTTATGTAAAAGCAGTATCTGTTATACTCTAAAAAGAGTGCTGGGGAATACCTTGCAATTTTTATTTTGCCTGCCTTTCTACATGCATGCATGTATTGGTTTATATATGGTTGTTAATATGTTTTCATAGTGGAAAAACATTCTTACACCAAAAAAAAAAAAAGTGTGTATCGATCTTGTTTGCTTAACTACACTGATATAGACAAAGTAGTACAATTTATAGTACAGACTGGCCTCTAGTAAGGGGTGGCAATTATGTAATTTTTTAGCAGATTGTATATGACAAGCTTCAGTCAGCTATGGGGAAGTTCTGCCTTTACTGTCAGAGGAAATCTGACAGCACACAAATGGAGCCACGGACTTCGAAGGAATACTGCAGTAACCTATGCTAGTTAGGTGATTGAATTAACTTCTGATGAGTAAATAATGTTTGTATCCCTAAATGGAGAAGAGGATACAGATACTGCTAGATGCAGGCTAGAATATTTGACTGAATTAATTTAGGAGGACCAAACCCCCCAGATTATTGTGGCAGAAAAAAAATTTTAAAAATAAACCCAAAACATTCTTCAGAAATTGAATGATGCTATTATAAAACTTGTTTTGAATCCAGAGAGAATAATGTGAGCAGAGAGCAACAAGAAAAGAAATAAAACCCTTTTTAGTTTGAATCTTCTGTCGTCTAGAATGAGCTACTGGCATATGCTGTAGAGATAGGGGAAATTATGATATAAATAGCATAGAAATGGCCCACATCAGGCTTGATTTTGTAATATAGTATCTTGTAAAAAATCATCTGCAGTAAGGTTGAGACTCTAAGTTTTATAAAATACATAGAAATAAAAAAAGCTGGTGGTGCAACTTAGGGTGTGAGGATGGGGATGGAGGTGATGTACCACCAACTTAACTCACAACGTTGAGATTTAAATGCAGCTGTTGCTGCGTAAAGGAGATGTAATTTTTACCTCGCTGCCCTTCACCTCAATAGGAACACCTGATGTCTTCTAAAGGGAGACGAGGGTACAGCAAGGCAATAGGAATAACGGGGCTGGGGCCAGCGCTCCTTCTCAGCGGGCGCCTTACAGCAGAGCCTTTCCCACCACTTCCCGCTGACACCATTCCCGTCCCGGTGTGCGGGCGGAGGGACGGCCGCGGCTCCGCGCCCGCCCCTCGCCCCTCAGGCCGGCGTTACCGCCTTCCCCCCGGGCACCGCTGGCGCCGTTCCCTTGGCCGTTCCCTCAGCCTCCGCTGCGCGGCGGGCCGGGCCGGGCCGCGCCGCGCCGCTGGGTGCCCGCCCCCCACCGCCGCAGCCGGCGGGCTGGCAGCTCGGAGGCTGCTCTCCGTCAGGATGGTTCATCACTCCGGCTCCATCCAGTCCTTTCGCCAGCAGAAAGGTTAGTACAAGCCGCGCTGTCCCCGGTCATCGAGAGGCCCCGCGCATCTGCCCGCCCTGCGGGAGAGGAGCCTCGGGGAGGGCGCACGGGTCTGGCCGCGGTGTCCGTGCAGCATCGCCCGTGGGTACCGGTGCGTTCTGTGTGCGTGCCTGCGCTCTGCCCGTGGGTGCCGGCATGCGGCTGTACTCGGGTGCTGCTCTGGAGGCGCACCGATGCTGTCGGATGCGCTGCTGGGCGTCAATGCGGCTGCGGCTGAGGGAAATGCAGCGGGGCCGGGCCGAGCCCAGACCTGTCCCGGCCCCGGCTGCTGGGGGCCGAAGGGCCCGGCCCGGCCTCGACCCCGCCGCGCCCTGCCTGTTTTCTTCCCGAAAGGCGGTACTGCTTTGGTTCTCACTGTACGGGTGAATCTAAAGATGCCTATATGCGTGATACAGGTCGTTCAGCCTCTACAGTTCACTGCAGTTGTTTCTAGGTTTGTTTTCAGGTTTTAGTCTTCATGCCATTCTGTTATCCAAGTACAAAAGTCGAGGAAGAATATTAGCTGGAATTGTGAGCAGGGCTCTGGTGTTCTAAGTACAGATACAACTTAGGTTCAGTCTATATTATTATGTTATTTTTTTGTCTGGGATTTTAATTGCGAAACTGAAGCTATTTGCTGGTCAGCAAATATAAAGGTGATTTTCCAGTTGTGATTACCATCACTATAAAACCTGTATTGTGTTCATGTTAGAAAAAAGGTAATTCTCTCAAGGAACTTTATTAATTTCTTGATCATTGAACCAATATTTTTATATATTTTTTCCTCTCTAATTCTACTTTGATGGGTCAGATGAACCAAGATTTCTATCACTTTGCTCTCTTTCTGACATTGACAAACGTTTTTTTATTCTTATAGGGCAGTATGCCATAAATTATGATAGGAAATGGCATTCTTTATACATAAATCATGAGGTCACTAATTGGATTTTGCCTCATTCAAGTTCTTCTCTTTTACTGGTTAGTTGAAAATAAATAATTCAAAGCACTTTTCCCATTCTGGTAATCCCATAATAAATTTACTTCCTTGCTGTAGAGGTTTTGCATTTAATGCCAGTCTTGTGTGCAATAATGAGTGGTACTGTCTCAGACTGTAAAAAGTCTAGTTATGTCAGGCTCAAAGGTAATTAATTAGTATAAAAATGTATGTCAAGTCTACATTTATAAAATCATTAGAAGCCTTGAAGCTACAGTGTTAGTCCTTACTTTTTCATAAGGTAATATTTCTTACACTACAGTAATGATTAGCAAGCCCCACAATGATTGTCAAAGCTCTTCAGAAAAAATGCTGCTGTTCTGTGATAATCTTTAAAAAGCCTACCCCAAAACTAACTTTCATTTGTCAGATTATACCCTTTTCTGACCCAGAGACGGGGCAACTGAGGGGCGTTTTAAAATTTTTTATTCCTTTTTCAGTCTCACGTGAAGGCTGACACAATACAGATGTTTATAATTCACACCATCACAATCAGAAGCCAACTATTTCCTAATTACAATACACTATGAGTGTTTTTTGGCCTATCAGCTTTTGTCACACCATGCTGTAGATGCCTTAAAGCCAATCATCTAAAATTACCCCTCGCATGTCCTACTACAATGCATCTTTCATAGTTCTATTTCTCTAAAGTATATAGTCTTATTTGGCAAGGCTGTCCTTTGAAACTCATTTCATGTTCAATTTCTCTTTCAACAATGTCTGTCAGCTTCAACTATGTTCAAGTTTTTTGACTTGTGATTTATGAAAGTTTGTGTTTGCACAAGTCATAAAACTTTGTAAATACTAAGTGAATTTTGCCAGTTACTTTTTGAGAAGATTATTGTTCTCATCTCCGTATTCCCAAAAAATCCTGATTGAGGTACCTTGCCAGTCATCAGGCTTTGGAAAAGAGAGGATGTTTTTATGGAGCTGGGTAACCTGTACAGTGTTGACAAACATGATTAGCTTTCCCAAAGTTCTCAAATGCAGTGTGCTTTGTACAAAATGTATCTGAGTTCAGTCTGTTTTTCTCAGCCTAAAGCTTTTAGGAATGGGGAAGACAGCATGAAATCTTGAGGAAAAGGCTATAGCAAAACTAAGCAAACATAAATGGCAATCAATAATTCTTCATCATACCATGAGTTATTGAGAAAAAGCTGAGCATCTGATACTCTGAAGTTCATGGACACTGATCTCAGAAGCAAAAAACGTTGTGTCCTTTTTTCTTTTAATTTAGTACTTTATATGAGTCTTTATTTAAAATTTTACCTTTTGCTCTCTGTAATTTCTAGCTTACTTTTGCTGAGATTTTGACTAAATGCATTATTTGTTTTCCAGCTGCTTACAAAATAGTGCCCTAAATTCCCTTTACAGAATTAGTGGTAATCTTCATGAAATGGCCAAATGGCCATCACAGCTGTTTCTTGTATGCTTCACTTGCACTAAGACCAAGCTTCATTTTCTGGGGGTGGAGGGGGCATTGAAAGGGCATTCTTTTTGTATGGATTCTCAATCATATAGGAAAAATACACATCAGGAAGTCTCATAGTTTCTGAAAACAAATAGAAAATTATTTTAAACTCTTCAGAAACAGAACCTACTTATTGCCAGGTAACATAATATTCAAAGTCGCTTGCTAAAGAGGAGTAACTTTTAAAATGGCAGACAGAATGGGGTAGAGATCATTCTTTTTTCCCTTAGTTACTCTGAGTACTTTGCTCTAGCTGAGAAATTGTGGTTTCAGTACAAAAGCTGATTTTACAAGATTTGGAGGAATAAGAAGATTAAGTTCTCCAGTCTCTTGGGTGTTTTGGAGGCTTCAACAGGAAGGAGAAAAGAAAGAAAGAAAAAAAATGTATCTCAAGGATTTCTTACTGTTTAGGTGTTGGTTTTCTTTATCTTTCCTTATTTGACAAAGTGAGGAGGTGTTCAGAGTAGGAGGCTGCTGCCATCTTTTTGTCTTGCTCCTTGTTCAAATTGTGTATACAGAGTGAAACCCTCAGTTTCAAAACCTGCAGCAGAACTCAGTGTAGTGTTATAAAAAGACACAGAAAGGGTTGAAAAAATTAATCTCATTCTTCTTCACCCCCACAATTCTTGTTCTTCTATTTGTATCCAAAGATAATGTCTACTGAGAAGAGCATTGTCCTAGAGGTAGACTAATCTGTGTCTACAAAGCAGTGTGTTAGATCTGTTCAGCCATATGTGTAGTATTTTCTGGCTATTTTTAACCTCTGTTTTGGCAGAAACTGGTTTTTCTGAAATTATTTTCCTCAGTAATATTCTCAGATAAAAACCATATTAGTAAATACAGACCTTTATACTTTTTTACTTTTTCAAAAGGTGATGCAAGCTATGGCCTCTGAGGAATCATGTCAGAGGAAAGGGGAAGAAATGTTTATTATTTATTAGTTTCTTCCCAACCATCCTTTACAAAAGAATAATGTTCTTCCTTAGAGATTAATATACAGGTGATATGTACTGTATATTGCTGTATGTACTTCTCTAATATACAGGTTTGTTTCAAACTGGTAAGTAATTAATAGTTATTCATAAAGGTGAAATAAGATAATGTTGATAAGAGCCAAGATAATCTTTATAGTAATTTGTAATTCAATAATTCCAGGGAAAGTTAGTTAGCCAGGAATCATAATCTTTTACATGTAGGACATTAAAACATGCTGCAGCCTTATGGTAGATTTTGTGTTTTCCATAATAGGTATGGGGTAGGTGCTAAGCAATTGCTTGTTTTATTAGGGGACTTTACTGCAAACCTGTATGCTTCAGAAGGAAAGGCAACCTAATTTGCAACAGGCTCTTGTAACAGATACTTGATGAGTAAACACAGGTTTGAATAAACCTGTGTTTAAGGTGCAGGTCAAGGCAATTACTATACTTAAAATTTTAGACATCTAGGACTTTTATCCTGATACACAGACTAAAATTTCCTGCATACTTTGCTAGGTGCTTTTAATGAGTAGTGTTGTTTTTTTAATACCTCTATCAAAGCTTTTTAATGCAGGAGTTCAATGCTGGGAAGAAGAAAAGATGTTTGTGCTTTAAAATTGAGTTGCTTTCATCTTGATGTATGAGATTTAAGAACGTGGACTGCAGATTGAAATCCAGTGGCTAACTGGGGGTGCTTCTCATGATTCTGGTCAAGGATTTAAATGTTTCCTGGTTCAATGAGGCAGGAAGGAGTTAATCAACTTCAATATTCATTAAGCCTTTGAGAGTAATGATTTAGCCTCTCAAGGGATTTATCTTGGAATAGCTTAAATTTGAGACTTCTGAAGAAATCAGGGATCTTAATGATAGATGTATTTCTAGATGTATTCCGGTTCTCATTAGTGCCAAATATTTTGTTTCATTTTATATACTGCTGCTTGAAGTTGTAGTGTGATTTAGTGGGATTGACTTGAGAATCTCTAATTGCTCTGCCTTCACAGAGTAGCTTGTTGCTTCACTGACATTTTTGTTAAATCGCTTTGAGCTAATTTGAGAACTACTGTTGTTGTGGAGTAAAGCTTTCTGTTATGGTCGCTTTAGTCTGATTTTAAGATCTTAATGACCTGCATTCTTTATAAAACAACATGTGAAATTGATTTGCATTTCTTGTGAATTTCAATGAGAATTTGTAAACATCACATTTTATATTGCTCTAGGTTTTAGTATTCAGGAACTTGGACTTGTGATTAAGAATCTCGTGGAGACTTCTCCAAGGATGTTTGGTGCTTCTGTGGCACATGTAAGCCTAGTAAACGAATAATAATTAATAATCTGAAGAGACTACTGAAATTACTAGAAGATGGAATTCTGTCACACAAAAATTTATGAGAGATTGTGACCCTTTGCCACTGTTCTCCAGAGCAGAAGGGCCAAGTTTTCATATCAGTGTGACCGAAGCAATTTTTTGGCCTCAGCTCTTCAGTTTTCATTCCAAGGAGAACTAACATATCCAAAAAGTTTTAAAGCCATATTCATTTTG